CCAACCTTGCATTTGAACGATTTATGTCTGAGCAGCAGCAGCGAGTTGTACTTCCTGATAGAAAGCTTGGCAGCGGCGGACTATCACTTAGCACCTATCTTACCAGCAACTAAAATCCAGTTGTTGCTGATAAAATAGTCCCTCAACATGAGATGATTCATGCGATGCAAGGTTTGTTTTATTTCAAACATTATTCTATCGACACAGGCATTCACATCGACAGTCTGGCGTATTAACAGATTTGCTTTGGGTGCTTTGTGGAGTGGGTGAGACTGTTTTTAGTGGCAGGCAAAATATGGCCATTGATATGCGCTAACCTAGCACCAGCGACCTCTGCAAATACAAGGACTGGATGGAAATTTTTAAAAAGTGTCTCCACAGGTCTCCAACACTATAGCTACCTGGGAAATTAGGTCCTATGTCCAAAATTCCAGACTGTCCGTTTAATTACATGTGACATTAGCAGTACAAGAATATGATATTGTTAATGAATTTATAAAAGCACACAGCGAAAATGTACAGCACAACAGTATTCAGTTCAGTTTGTCAAGTTCTCATGATCTACATAAAGTAAGGAGGATATAGGGAGGTTGATACTAAGGGCTTTAGACTTTTGTTCTATTTTTCAGAATTTCAGAGACTAAATGTATGTTGTATTTGTTCAATTACCGTGTTCTATAATTATAATTTTATTCCATGTTTATTTATTAATTTATGATTTTATATTGTTTTAACTCTCTCTCTCTTTTAATATGTGGTTTTTAGTAGGGTTTTTTTTTTTTAGTATTTTTGTGTGTGGTCCTGTATTTACTCTGTAAAAGTTCAAGACAATTCTCATACTATCTTGATACTATTTATATTTTTATACTTTTTTATTTATTCAGTCGGGGTATAGATAAAGGTGGATCATAGCTCTTTTTGTTTATGAAATGTTTAGAAGTTTTGTAGAAAAAAGTTAACCATAGAATATAGAGTAAAATATATTCCATAGAATATATTTCTTTTATAATGTTTAGCCAATGATTCAGAAGAGGTGGGTCATTTTTAAAACAGCTCCTTGTTATTACTTTTTTGATGCCAGTAACAGAATTTTTAAAAAGGTATCTGTCCTCTTTTCAAACACCTCTCCAAGCAGAAAGACTAACAGAAATATCTTGGAGTGTTTTGATACAAATTTTAATATGAAATAGTGTCTGGGTATCATTACGTTCACCAAGAATGTAAGACCCTTGACAGTGTAGCATTTTATTTTCTCTGCCAGCCTGCTTGTTTAGTTTCAGTAGCAGAGATGTTATGTCACCCGTACAGGATGATGGATGAACACTCCTCTGAGCAGACTCGAGGAGTGAGGGCCAGGGTTAGCAATAGGACTCTGACCGATATTGACGGATTAGGATTGGCGTATTGCATAACAAAAGGCATTTCTCGGTATCCCCCGTCTTGCCAAAACTTCTGATTTCCCCGGCGAACATGTGCAAGTGGTGACACAATTTGAGCCTTGAACAAAAAAGCAGCTTGATCCACTTTAGTCACACTTGAAATCGGGATTAGGAAAAACGCTTGGCAACCCATCTGAGAGGAGGCAAATCAGGTCAGCCAAAATTCAGCCCGAGAGCAAAAAAAATGTGTTGTTGACAGTTTTTTCAAGTACATACAGGTGTGCTCTGAAGTTTAACTGACTCCCAATAGCAGAACAGGCTCCCATCTAAACTGACTGTGATGGAGAGAGTGTGCAGATAATTGCAATCACTCTAGTGCCAGTTTTCATTACTTTCCCCGATACCACCTTAATGCAGAGCCAGAAGCAGACACATAGAGGCTAGCATAGTGCACCTGTCTTCTCATATAGTGAGTGGCCCATCACTTTGGACAGACAGTTTTAGATCAGCAGGCTTCTAATCTGCCCCCTCCCCTCCCTGGAAGCGCTGTAATCCCACACAAAAACACCAAATATGGGACACACGCATACAACCAGGGCCCCGTGCAGTTTTCAGGGGTCACTGCAGGGGTTAATAGACTGTTTGAAACGTCTCAGAACTGGATAAGTGAGCCAGCCCCTGTTATTTTCTCCCATTTTGAGCTTTAACGAAGCCACAGTTGACAGGTAAAGATGCACTTTAGACACATGAGGCTGAGTTTTTCATAGTTTTGTCAGAAGAGGATGTCTAAATTTAAACTGGCTCACAGGTGGAGGAATAAAATGGAGTTTCATTCTAAATTATCTTGGAGCGATTTTAAAACAGTGTGTAAAGTGTACCTAATCACCTGCTAATGGATTCAATGCCAGCTGGCGGTACTGGGGTACATTTTTACTGTTTAATTAAGAATGAGAGAGAATATATGGTAAGGTATACTTAATTATAAAGACTGACTGATATGTTTTTTTTCATGGCTGATGCTGATTGTTTAGAGTCCAGAGAAACCGATGGTCGACAATTTCTGACAATATCTTTTTGTTGATGTATAGGGCTGTTTTTTTATTATTTTCCCCAATTTATGTCTTTTAAATTTGCAACAAACTTACCCCAAGCCCTGTTTTACTGCAAACCTTTAAGACAGTGGTGTAGTCACATTTTTTGCAATTACATTGATCCACCATTTTACGGCGTCAGTCTTCAGCTACTTACAAACATCCTGCTCCTGTTTTCAATAAAAATACATTTTTGTTCTATGTACTTTCTGTTGTACATAGAGTTGCTTTTTTTCTTCACTAATTTACAGATATAGGTGTGGTGATGATAAAATCAGAGAGATGTATATCTTAGGATCCTCTGTTGTATATTATGCATGTTGTCTTTGTGTTGTGGTTGTCTTTTGTTCTGTTTTGATTTGTTTTTTCTTTCTTTTCTGTAAACACTATTTTTATTCATGTATTTAGGACCCCCTTGCAAATGAAATGCTACATCTCATGGGGCTTTTCATATAAATAAATACATAAATAAATGTGATACTATATCTTCTTGCAATAAAGAGTTTAAGTTTTGTGTGTACTCTTTAGGCAACAGGTTGGCCAAAACAATACTCTATGCTAAAACGTGCAAATATCAGCCCAATATATCGACCAACTAATATATTGGGAAATTTGTCCTCTGTATTTGACCCATCCTTATAGTGTTCAGACTAACAGACACCACAGTGCAGCAACCTAGGACCCATGGTCAGGACTACTTTAACTGGATGACATTACCTGTTAGCAGTCTTCCAACTTTTGAATTGATGTTGCAAACTTCCTTCCAAGTAGTAAAAGAAATGTATTTTATGATTGCGAAATTACAATCCGTGCAGTAAAAACACTTTTTTCCCTTTTGTCTTCAACAGATAATTGCAATGGGCCCCTGGTGTCCACGTTACCCCACTCTTCATTTCAGAGCTCCTCCCAGTCCTCGGGCAGTTACGCCGCACACAACGCTAAACTCAACAGACGAGACGGTGAGTGCTAAAATCTGTTCAGTTTAATAAGACCTTTATGAACTCATTTGTAATGGTCAGTTTGTCCCACGCATGTCACGATTTTACTCTTACTCCTGCATGACCTTAAAACTCCACTCAAGTTAGCTGGTGAACTTCTCGTGCTCTTTTACATACTTAAATCTGAGCACATATCTCACAATAACCCCTAAAAACATAAATTATGAACTTGGATAACATATTCATGCAGTATATGTGTGAGGGAATACTGTCTACCTCTCAGCATAAAGGTCTAAAGCTCAATCAATGTGTTGGATATCTGCCAGTGTTTTTCTGTGCGCGTTTGTGTGTTATTTTTAGTTCCCTCTGGATGTACTGCTTTTTGCTTTTGTACTGCAGTACTGGTGATACAAATACTCCCCATAACATGAAGTGTATTGGTCAATAGGTCTCTGGTTCTTCATGAATGCTTCACGACCAATCCTACCCTACACCCAAAGAAGCAGGTACTGACTTTGCAGCTGATGCCATCAACATTCTCTGGGGGTGTGATGCTAACTGTAGGCACTGCTCTGTCTGAGGCTTTGTTAAACTTTAATCTAAACTTTATTGCAACACAATCTAATCAAAAAGAACTGATTTAGTTGGAACTACAACAGGTGAGTTTACAGTCACAAGCTAAATAGCACCAGCCAACAGTTTAGTCACTCTCACCTTTTGTTGAAAATGAAACACCTAAACAGGACCATGGATGCTTTTATTGATCATAGGCTACTAAAAATTTGTTCTTTAAATCATTTTCTTCAGTTGTCAGACCTAAAACCTGCTAAAAAAAAAAAAAGGTTTAAGGTCTGACAACTGAAGGAAAGAAAAACCCAAAATGTAACATTCTCCCATACACATACATGTAGAACACCCCAGCATGATGTCACTGCAAAGTATCAATTGGCTTGTTTCATCCTTCCAATATTGGACAATGAATGAACTGTATGAACTACTACTTTATCTAAAGGAAGGCAGTAAAGAATAACAGAAAGACCTCATTAAATAAAGAACTTTTAATTCTACTCAGTCAGTGTATTTTGGATTTTTCTGCCTTTAGTTCTCTCCATGAAAAGGTTTTTTTAAAGTTCATCTTGTCATCCTTGAAGAGCATCTGAGGTTTTCAGGTTTTTTCCCGACATCTATTGACCCAGTGAAGAACTAAAACCCTATTTTGTCTTTTGAATACACATATTTATTTCGTTTTAGGTTATCTCTTTAGAATTTGAAGCCAACTTCAAAGTATAAAAAGTTTGGAGCATGCATCAATAATGTATTTGGCAGTTGATATTGAAAACAAAAAAACTTTTGGAAACACATCAGAAATTATACATGGAGGCTTCAAAATTGAACTTGCAGAGAAAAATCTTTATTTTGACTAGACAAAAACTGTCCAAAACTGGTTAATTGAAGATCCACTTTTGATATATTGCTTTTTTTCTTCTTCTTTTTCTTTTTTTTCTGATATTTACACACTGAATGCTTTATCTTATACAGGGGCAGGGGGCTGGTCTCCACTGGTGACAGACCAAGAGCCGTGGCTTCAGGTGGACCTCCGGGAGCAGATGGAGGTGACAGCAGTGGCCACACAGGGGCGCTATGACAGCTGGGACTGGGTCAGCAGTTATGTCCTCCTGTACAGTGACACGGGCCGTGGCTGGAAGCAGTACAGGCAGGAGGATGGAGTCGGGGTGAGTGGCCTCTTTGTAATATAGCGGCACTGTGTACTGTGTGTCCTCTGATGAAGGTGGACCTCGATATGTCAAAAGACATACAGAATATAATACTACAATTGTTATTTTAGAGAAATGTACACAATCAGTAAGTATATAATAATAATAAAACTACAGTTCATTCATATCTGTGCCATACTTGAATCTCATTTACAAGAACTTATCACGTTTTATGGATTGCCTGATACAGTCCTCTATTCATAATATAGTTATTGAGATAATTAGAAACATATGGAGAGATTTGTTTTTGGCAACAACACCCACCCATACTCGTAGTAGGTGCTAAGAGGCTTGTACGATGTGCGTGAGATCAAGCAATCAACACATTAGCAGGAGGTCAGACAGCACAGCAGTTGTATTGACACAGGTGATAGCTGAACTGTGCATAAAGCCATACATATGCCATAACTATTTAATTACAGGTCTTTATATTGCTCAGAAATACCTTGAACGTATTCCTATGATATAGTATGCTTTTCTCATTGGATAAATATAAGTTTAATGCTGTGGAACATACTGTGATGTCATGCCAAGTTATAGCTTTTTCATGATGACATGCTGGTGGTAGACCCTATAGTGAATTTACATTAATACATGCAAAACAAAATCTAAGGTGCACAGAAATAAAGAACTGGGTAAGAGCTGGTTGACTGTCGATTTGTGACATAGAGGAACAGTGTACAGACAGTTGACTAATAATTTTATTTAGATAATAAGGCTTGCTATGGGAGAACAGTAGAAATGAGAAGTGAGTGAATTAGCTTTTCTTGTATTTATGTAAAAAGCCAGAGTTTCACTGGTCTTCCTAGTACTTTTCTTCTGTATAAATAGTTGTTTTTCATTAACTCCTGTGCAGTTGTAATCTTGTGAGTATAGTTTGGGTTGGATACATGCACATAGTTTTGAGTTTCATTGCCACTCCCCCTTTTTGTCTACTAATTGATTGGCAGGACATGTCTTTAGTTGGCCAAGAACTTTAGTCGACTTCCGCCCTACATTGTTGCCTGTGCAGCTGAAAATCAAATGTGTATATAAACAAGCGGCTTGTTTAATTATGAGCTCATTAACAGACTTAGCCTTCTGTTAAATCTTTTCCCAGTGGGTTCTTTGTCAAGTTACTAACCCATTTCCTTTTGTGTTGTCATTCATACCACACTCAGGGGTATATTTACTAATAATAGGTTTTTACTCATGTGTTAAATGCATTAAAAATAAGTTAAAGGTGCATTGTGTAACTTTTCTGGTGGAGGGTCCATCACTTGCTTTTCTCCATGGAGATGTTATTGCTTTGTCTGGAATGTTTCACAGTATGGCATTAAACCTTTCTGTCTTCATGGACACCAAACCAGACCAAGTTACAGGTCAGATCTGTGAAGAGACAACCCGCTCACAGTTAGAATGCCTGTTTTTCTAGGTATTTTTGAGCTATAAAACCACTTGTAATTACTAAATGTAAAGTAGAGCTGTTTAATGTCATATCCATAGAAACAAGCAAGTGATGGACCCACATACAAAAAGTTACACGATGCACCTTAAAATGCAAGTAAGACAAAAGCGAACACAGTTGAGAAGGGTCCTGTAGGCTTCATTGAATATAAGTATAAAAGTTGCAATTTGTAATAGTAAATCATGTGTGACACGCCCACAAATAGCACATGCAATTTTTAGTTTAGCACCTGGCTTGATATCCCTCAGTGATCAACTTGTTTATATGATTCTGTTTTTAGTTCATAATGCAGTCTGGTCAGCGACTACGGTGTTGTTATTTTGCTTCTTAAATTAATTGATCCTTCTATGTGGTGTACACAGATTTCACTGCACATCACAATGTCATGATAACAAAGATGGCTATTTTGGGGTGATGTGTGTTGTAGTCTGTGGTGTGTTTAGATAATAGTATGAATCCGCATTTTTCTACTTACTTGGCCCCCCTTGAAAATGAGAGGCTAAGGGACTAACTTGCTCTGTTCAAAACTGAATAATTACTTTGTTGTTAGTACACTCAAACAAGTCTGGGCAAGTGTATACATTTTCCATTTTTCCTTAATATTGCAAACTGTAGTTACAACTCTCCCAGTCCCCACCTTGTTATTTGTTATCTTTGCGAGGCTCTTGGGCATATGCTGTTGAGGAAATCATCTCATGTATTCTAAGTGGCTTGCATGCACAGAGCCTAGGGAGAATATAGCTGTGTGCAGGTGTTAGTCTGGCAGACAAGACCCTCGACTCCTCTTTGCACCCACATCCTTAGTTACGCACCCCAGGGAGATGCAGGGAGCTAGACAATATGTGAAATCCACCAGTGGAAAGAACCTCTTCAAACCGGATCTGACTGGTTTTTATTTACCTCTAAATCACACACAATTTATAGGCTGCTTCTATAGATTCGAGCAGATCCTCCTTATGTGGATTTATAGGTGGCGCAGGAGAGATGGCAGCTAATATATCAAGCAAGTCTCATTCACAAAGAAGGCTTTCATTGGGAGGGGCATATCCGTCTTTTGGCTTCGCTACAAGTGAAGCTCAAAGGTAACTCTTCGCTGAGAGGGTCTAATGATAGAGCAGCCGCTGCAGAGCTGAGCCAACCCGAGCCCGTGCCCAGACCAAATTGGCGAAGGGGAAAAATTGGCTTGGTACAAATACAGATAATGATCACCAACCCCACTGGCCTCCCCGATGGCATTCAATGAGCAACTATGAAATGGCTTCAGACTGAAAGATACTAGTGCCATGATTTAATTAGGATTCCTGCTTAGTCACGCTATCAAAGATTGTTACAGGGCAAAATAATGCCTGTTAAATACTTAAATATGGGCCTCAAAGGTCCTTTATTACGCAAAATTAACTCTCGTAAGCTTTTAGTCATGTTGGACTCTTGTTACCTCCTCTAAAACACACATGGAGTTGTGTTTTGTTTCATTCACACACGTTTGAGTAACTAGTCTGTGTACATCTCCAAAACTCAAAATGTTCTGTTCCACCTTGCAATGTCATGAAGCAGTAGTTTTCAAGTTAACAGCTATCTTTTACCTTTACCTTCAGTAAAGATGGGCAATTTCAGAGCTGAAATTATCCAGATGATTGTAGTGAAGACAGAACACAGTGGAGCACTTCCTCTAATACCACACAGCATCAAAAGGTGTTTTCTGTTTGAGAGATTAACTCAGCCTAAATATGTAGTTTGTGTGTTAAACAAAAAACACAACTCAGATTCTGGTTGTGACTAGTATTGGAATAAGTTTACTCTCACCGTGACTCTTTATTTTAGTTCTGTTCTATTATCAATTAGTACTCATTAATGCAAACTCACCAATATCTGATCACTATCTGATCAGAGTACAAATTATGAGTAACTGTATTCAGGTACAGTTACTGTTTCAATGAGTGGTAAATGGATTACAGTTACTTTGCTGAAATAAGTGGATTACAAGGTGGTATTTTCCTGTTTTCACATTTTGTGCTACATCCCATTTATTTATTTTTTTTATTTCGGTAATTCCACTCATTGCCGGAAACTCAAACAGAACGCGGCAATAAGAGCGATGTAAACGTCATGTTAACGTTGGCGGCGTCAGTCACACAATGGACGAGGTCGAAGAGCCAGTAGAACAGAGGCAGCAGTGCACAGGTAAAAACACATTTGTGTCTTGGAAATTCTTCTCCCGACGTGAGATATTAAAAAAATAACAAATATAAAATCGCCTACAACTTAAATGTCAAACCGGAGCTACTGGCACTGGTGAAAACAAACTGCATAGACTCATGATATCTACTGTTCTATACTAGTGACCTGCGACACGAGGGGACGCGCACACAAAACACACACAAACACACACCTTCATCATCGTCATCGACCTGAGAACGCGCAGACCACCGTCATTCTCCCGCGCGCCGCGTGTGGACCGTGTTTTCTCGTGTGTGCCTCTAAACCAGAACTAACAACAGGACTAACCCAGTCCAGGACTAAACCAGGACTAAACCAGAACTAAACCAGGTCTAAAATCAGGACTAAACCAGGTCTAAAATCAGGACTAAACCAGGACTGAACCAGGTCTAAACCAGAACTAAACCAGGACTAAACCAGGACTTAACCCAGGTCTTACAATCAGGACTAAACTAGCACTAAAACCAGGTCTAAAATCAGGACTAAACCAGGACTAAAACCAGGTCTAAACAATGATACCTAACAGTAGGTTGGACATAATTTAAGGTGATCTCTTATAAAAATAATTTCTCTATCAATAATATTTTTAATATGGTTAAGGAAAGACTGGTCTTTTTATTTTCTTTTAGCAGACAAAATTTATGTTAAGATTTCCTGGTCTTTGCTTCTCTACAGTAAACAGTTTCTTATTCATGGAGACTTGGGCTCAACAGACAATTTGAAGAGAACAAACAAGAATTTTCAGGATGTGCTTTCTACATTCATGTAGTTTTAAAAGGCATGACAATATCAAGTAATCCAAAGTAATCAGATTACGTTACTCACTTTAATTTAATGGATTACATTACAAACTACATTTTGGGGTATGTAATCTGTAATCTGTAAGGAAATACATTTTAAAAGTAACCTTCCCAACACTGTCACTGGATTATTACACACCGCCTCACCTCACCTCGGCGGGTCCTGTGGCAGTTTCTGTACCGTCATATCAACTGGATACATTTCAAGTCTCAACATCTCTCACTGTCGGATCATCCTTTGTATCTGCACCCGCTACCACTGGATACATTATCAGTCCAGCCGTAAAACACTTTAGTTTTGCTTCAACACTAGCCACTAACAGACTACCAGCTCCGGCTAGCTCTTCCTGTGGTGCGCTCCTCGTTGCTCTGCCCCAGGTTGGGCCCGACAACTGCATTGCCCCGTTGTGGATCTATCACTGGTGCCTTGTGGTACTCCTGTACTGGATAACACCTGCACTGCTTAAACATGGCAGGGTCAAAATGATTTTCTA